ATTCACATACCTGTGGCCGCGGAATGCGGAGGAATCGTAATGCCAATGCCCATTTTGCTGGTCTGTGAACGCAGCGGGCTACGGGAACCCTTTGGGCGGTCGCAATAGGAGCGAGAAGCTGGCAGGCACCTATATTTGCACGGTGGAGGTTCTCCAGCTTGCAACAAGAGATAGGCAGAGTGCAATGTAATGACTACTGGGGGGATGAAGCTGGAGGGCGGCTGTTGGTTTGAGAGCAGATGTCTTTTCAGGGAGTTAAGTTGTTGGAGGGTTCGATCTTTGGTTCTTGCTCAACTTTCTCCGCCAGGTCCGATTTAGCGCCGCCGCCAGCAAACGGCAACCCGCTGTATTTTTACATCCGACCTTTGTGGGCTAATACTTTGCGTTGGAGATAGTAAGTTAATAGTAAATTAATTACCGAGTAGATACAAAACTCTAATGGAGCTTGAGAGTGATTGATAATTGAGGATTGGTCACACCGCTTACCGGCCCATTTATGGGATCGTGTCCATGAGGAGCTTTCTACAAAATAACTAGTACTGTATGCTGAATTAACTAACTAGATTGGTGGAGTAATAAAAAGATCTAGGATCTAACCAAGATCTAAGTTACAAGTATAGAATAGTTAGCAACAAGCATTAAAATTATTCAAATCATCTTCTTCAGGCTGTGTACTTCTTGATATATTCTAAAAAAATCTTTAGAATTGTAGAACGGTGTAGCTGGAGTATATCTATATGTACTCCGTAGTGCGGTATGAGAAACCTGGCACCCAGTAATCAGCATGACATCGACCCTGGTTTTTATTAGAAGCTGCTCTCAGTGGGTAGTTAAATTCTTGGAAATATCTCCCTTGGCCGTCACTTTGATGGGAGGATCCTGGAGCACATAGATGGCCACGACTTACATTTTCTTTTCTGTTTTTAAAAATTGATAGATCGGGGACAGTAGTGCTTGGTCCCCATTTTATCGCAATGAGTTTAATGTACTGTTTAACGAGCTTACAGAGCCATTCCAGGCCAATTGTTATTCAATAGGAAATGGAGCAGTAACTAGTTACAACTCTGCTGCAACCAGAGCAGGATCTGACACCTGGATGCCATTGGTTGGTCTCGGATCTCATGCTACGTCCAGGGAGACAGCTCGCGGAGCCCTCAAGTGATTGGGAGACCACCCTTTCCAACAGAGTGTGTAATGTATGCATGGGTGCTTAGGATTGCCCACAGATCTTTTAGACTTCAGTACTATCTGGGCTACTGATACATTCCCATGACATGTTTTATTTCCTATAATTGCTACAGCATATGCAGTATATCGTAGAGATTTCGGAAGGTGCACAAGTTGATCAGAAGCGAAACCAACGCTCCACTCCCCATCTGGGAGCTCCTAGCCAGGGACGAGTTAAAATATTTCCGATCCACCCTCCAGGGAGCAAAAGCGCCAACCAGGAATACTAACGCTCCACTTCCAACACGCAAATGATAACTCTAGATGGCCGAAATTCGCGAGATCGGACGGAGCGTTCACACTCGCAAGCAAGGACGCTTGGTGTTTTGTTTTTTGTTTTTTTGGCAGAGGAGCCGCGGGATGAAACGACAAGAGAGCGGTCGTTTGAGAGAATATGCGCGTTGCTGTTTAACAATTTTCTGTAGATTTATAAAACCGGTCTTGAGCTCTGTAGGTAACGAACCAAAGTGTCGTCATTCTTTTTCCTCGAGACGCCCGCACTCCATGTCCTTAACCCATTGTTCATAGTACCTTCTCCACTCCAATTCCATGGCTATGAGTTTAGTCCTCTCTGACTCAGGGTTTGCTGCATACCCAGTCCTCTTCAACTCAGGAGACGGATCATGGGCTATTGTGACACTGGCCTCTCCCACTCTCCCTATTTGCCGAATAGCATCCAGGTAAAAGGGTAGGTTTTTGTACATCTGTTGAGCAGTATGAAGATGTCTCCACCAAGTATACCATGATGTAACCCGAATATCGAGCTTGATGATGCTGGAATCACGAAGCTGTGTTGCAACAATCTTAATATTTTCAAGGACTGCTGTGGAGTCTTGACAAACTTCAATTGAAAACAAAATTGTTTGAATTTTGGCCAGGAAGCCCAGGTTGAAACAGAAAGACATCGTCTTCCCCAAGATATATACACGCCGTTCGGACAGGGCGATATTGCATACGAGATTTCGGTAGAGGGTATCGGTTGCTTCCTCAAAAATCTGATGGCTCAGGCACATCATGTTTATAAAACTGCAATAAGTGTAATATGGAACATATTGGCTCTGATATTCGTCCAGAATATATAAGAAAATATGTTGACGAAGTTCGGTAGGTAGACGCAGTATGTAGCATGGCAGAACAAAATCCTTGTGTTGGATACAAAGCTGTTTTTCAGACCAAGGGATTTTTTTGAGGCATTTGCGATTGTTCCCAAGTACCGCCTGGCAAGAAGTTACAGTGAGCCTGAGCTTCCTATGAAGCCAGCAGACTGGGAGTCCCCCCAGCGTTCGCGAGATGGCCGCTCGATTTTTGCATGCATCGTATGAATGTGTCAGTGCCGAGCATTGATGTGAAAATTTCTTCCGTCTGCGGGCGAGCTTGGAGCGTTGTTTGTCTCGAGACATTCTTGCAATGGGATAGAAAATAGATATGAGTATGATAATTGACGACAAGGGTTTTTCGTCTTGGTGCCAAACTCAGTGTTGCGCTATTGTGGCGGACGTACGGAGTAAAGCTTGCGAAAACAGAATTTTCTGCCACCCCCTGAAAAATAGTAGCAAAACACTGCAAAAATAACCAAAATATCCATGTATCTCTAGAATCATTCAAATATCATTCAATTCATTCAAATACACACCTTTATCATCAAATACACACCTTTATCATCAAATACACACCTTTATCATCAAATCTGTCAATATGCTCTCTAAGCTCAGTAAATTTATCTATCGGAACTAACAAAGTCCGAATATTGTCCCAATTACTGAATATCAATAAAAATAATTGAATTGCTTCTTCTAACTCTGATAATTACATGACAATTAGACAGTATTTATAAGAAAAGCCATGCTCAAATATACACAAGAGATAGTACTGAGAATCAGTAAGGCATTGCTTGATTTCATCAGATAAGATGTTCCAGATTTCAAGTTGCTACAGAATTCTTGATAATCAAACTTACCAAGTTCTATAGAACTTACTAAGTTCTTGACATTATTATTAATGACATCATACACTTTCTAAACAATGATTATATATCTGCTCAGATTATACAGATTATTGAGTGTCATCTGATCATTATATATCAAATTTAATGAAATATTCACTGTTTTGAAACTGTTAAAAGTTCTCATTCAATATAAACTATAAAGTTAAAGATCATACTAAATATTTTATTAGATTTGAAAATTTTTTTTAAAGTATATTCAACTACATATTATGATGAGGCTATCTGCTTTATTGTAATAGGCGCAACGGAGATATCTATATTAGGAAATAGATACGTGGCGATAGATACGTGGCGATAGATACGTGGCGATGGCAATATTATCTATATAATGCTCGCTGATATCCGTGGATTTTAGGAGATCAGCGATTAGCTTTGAACAATAGAGATTGCTACCTTCTTAATATCCTTTGTGCGTACTTCACACTACTCTTGTAATTACTCTTGTAGCCCATCTCTTACAATTCTAATCGCTCTAAACCTTATTTGAGTGGTCCGTTGTTACGCACACCTACAACAAAACACGCAACGTTAGTTAAAACACGCAACTTAAAACACGCAAGATGGTTTCGACACGCGCAAGATCCCTTGGGAACCAACCCGAATCCTCTACCACCTCCGACGACCACAATGCCCGATTGCAACAGTTAAACGATCAAATCCGTGAACGAGAGCAACAGTTAGCTATTCTGCACGCGCAACAACGCCTCAACGAGTTGGAAGCACAGATTCGCGAAGATACTTTTATCGAGTCCCGACCAACCCCGGGATATTCGCCGCAGAACCGCCGCAAAATTCGACCCCGTAGATGATATGGATGATGATAACGAAACACCGCCGAGATTTGGAGATTAAGGATTACTATCGAGGAAAAGAAATATGTTAGAATTTAAGGACTATAAAGATCGCATGTTGACTCTCTTTGCACGCCACCGTCGATATTATCGAAAAGAAGAACGCAAGATCAACGACGCCAAACTCTACCTTGATGCCCACGTTAAGCAGAAGTGGTTGAATTTTGTATCAGCATACGAGAGACGCGGAGGAGCAACACCGTTAACATTCGATGATATGCTATCACACCTAGAGATGCAAATTAACGACCCGCAGAATCAGCGTCGATTGGCGAGCCAAAGATTCCAAGATGCTAAGCAACAGGAGTGGCAATCGATACGCGACTTTTCTAAATATCTCGAAGATTGGGAGTATTACTTACCCCCATACAGCGAGGAACAGAGAATGGATAACCTGCGTAGTAAGGCATTGAAGGTGCTACGCACCGAACTCGACCGTCGAAATCAAGAACCCCAGAACTACGAAGAGTTGCTTCGAACTCTACAGACTCTCGAGGAAAATATGCCGGAGCGACGACGTGCCATTCGCAAAGGCAGACCTGCGATATTCGTAGGGAATCAGCGTCGTTCTGATAAATCTAGCAACCACCGGAATAAAAGGAAACGAGAGGAACAGACGGAAATCAACCGAACAAACCAAGAAAGATAAATATAATTGGATGAAGGAGGGCTCACACTGCCATAAGAAGGGGCATGTCGCAAACGATTGTTGGATGTTATACCCCGAAAAGCGCAACCAAGTCCGACAAGCAAAAAACTAGCAATCCCAATCGTAGGAGCAGCTGCTGCATTGGGAATACAGACGACTAGGCTGCGAGATAAACACTTATTGGCAATGAACACCTGGATGTTGACAGAAGTGGGATGGTCAATGGCGTGGACGTTAGTAGATTCTGGCGCGGATGCGAACTTCGTGTCCCATGCTTGGGCATTGAAATATTTCTCGAAGTCAGAAGGTAAACCGAAAGTAGTGGAAGCAGTTGATAATCATAGGGTTAAATCATATGGACAACGAAAAGCTGCAATGAGATTATCGATGATGAACATGTCCTCCGGGAAGGATTTCCACCATTTCGAAGAAGCCGACATCAGCGGATACGATGTAATTCTGGGTATGCCATGGTTGCAAGCTGCGAACCCCGACATTGACTGGGTGCGAAGATGCTGGACCTATAGGAAAGCGTCAAATATCAGCCACGTGCACCTAGATACCGCTAAGGAATTTGCAACTTTAATGGACGACAGCAACATTATATTCGCCGCCTTTCCATTGCGAGCTGCGCACGCAGCGACTGAGCCAAATATCCCGGATGATTATAAGGATTATCTTGATGTATTCCGAGAAGATATACCTGACGCGGAACACGCACCCCACGATCATGCCATAGATCTCAAACCTGGCAAGGAACCACCGTACCGACCGATATATAACCTGTCACCTCAAGAACTCTCCGTCCTCCGAGAATATATCGAAAAGGCATTAGAGAAGAATTGGATACGCCCGTCCAAGAGCCCAGCCGGTGCGCCAGTATTATTCGCACCGAAGAAAGACGGAACCCTGCGTCTTTGCGTAGATTATCGAGGGTTGAACGAAATAACAGTCAAGAATCGGTATCCGCTGCCCCTGATAAGTGAAATACTCGATAGATTAGCAGGTGCCAAATTATACACGCAATTGGATCTTAGGGACGCGTATCATAGAATCCGCATACGAGCGGGGGATGAATGGAAAACGGCGTTTCGAACACGATACGGACACTTTGAGTATCTGGTTTTACCCTTTGGGCTAACCAACGCCCCTGCGACTTTCCAATCTTATATCAACAAAGCCCTCAGTGATATTTTGGATGTATATTGCGTGGCTTATCTTGACGATATCGTAATCTATTCGAATACGCTTGACGAACACGTCGCCCATGTTAAGAATGTGCTGGAACGTTTAAGGCGATGGAGACTATATGTGAAACTTAGTAAGTGTACGTTCCATGCAACAGAAATTGGATTTCTGGGTTTTGTGATTACCACGCAGGGCATCACTGTCGAAAAACGCCGCGTCGATACGATCCTAGATTGGCCTGAACCGCGAACAATAAACGAGCTGCAAACATTCCTAGGATTCGCCAACTTCTACCGACGATTCATATACAAGTTCTCGATAATAACGGCACCCCTGACTGAGTTGCTAAAAGGATACGAAACAAAAAAGGGGAAGAACAACGCACCTGTCCAACTGAACGAGAACTGCAAGCACGCAATACTGCAGTTAAAAGAATGCTTTACAAAAGCACCGTTGTTAGTTCATTTTGATCCGCAGCGAAAACTCCGTATAGAAACGGACGGATCTGGCGTTGCAATCGCCGCAGTAATATCGCAATTAATGGATGATGGTCACTGGCACCCGATCGCGTTTTGGTCCAGAAAACTCACAGAAGCAGAAAGACATTATCAAACATATGATTTAGAAATGTTGCCGATTGTAGAAGCTTTCAGGCAATGGCGCCACTACCTACATGGTAGCAGGCACCCAATAGTTGTTTTATCTGACCATGCCAACCTCCGGCGCTTCATGACGACGAAGCAGCTAAATGGGCGTCACGATTCGTTGGATGCAAATGCTCTCAGCGTTCGATTTTGAAATTGAGCACCATCCTGGGGAAAATAATCCCGCAGATGCACCAAGTCGTCACTCAGATTATATAAAACACGCAGCTCCCTTGACGGGGCTCCCTACCCTGCAAGAGAAGCTGCGTAAGGGGATCTTTAAGTCACTAAAGACAAAAGAAAACACAAAGTTAGACCAATGTGTCAAGATGGTGCGAAAAAATCTGCAAGTTAAAGAAAATTGTTGGGCGAAGGGGCCCGTAGTCATCGATGACAACAAACCCTGCAGGATAAAGAACGCACCTGCAGATGAGAACGAAGTCGCCGGCGTTACGGGGTTAGACCTAGGGACCCTGGTGCCACGGATTCTAGCCGTTAAGGTATTTGAGTCCGAGATAGCCTATCGCGAAGAGGTAGCTGAATCTATTGTCGAACTCTTGCTGCAGGTTCAGAATAGGGACGCTGGCACGTCTGAACTTCGCAGAAGACTAGAGGTGGGTGACGCTAGCGTAGGTGATCGTTCGACCTGGGCAGTAGACAAAGATGGCCTGCTCAGGAAAGATGGTAAAGTCTACGTACCGCAAGACAAGGCCGTAAGGCATGAAATAATGAAAATGAACCACGATGATCCCCAAGGTGGCCATTTTGGACGTGACAAAACCATCGAAGCGATCAAACGCAAGTACTCGTGGCATGGTATGAGCGATGAGATTGCAGAATATGTGAGGACCTGCGATGTTTGCCAACGCGTCAAGATACACGCGGCATAAGCCGTACGGGTTGCTACAACCACATCCAGTGCCAGATAAGAAATGGCATACAATCAGTATGGACTTTATTGAAGGCCTACCAGATAATAAGAAGGGAAGTCAAACTTACAATGCTATTGTCATATTTGTTGATTTGTTCACTAAATGGGCCATAATTGTACCCACATCTTCAAAGCTAGATGCGGAAAGACTCGCGGACATTATTGTATGGAAACTTGCGAAGAACCTTTGGCCTACCTGCGAACATTATTAGCGACCGAGATTCATTAATAAACAGCAAATTCTGGTCAACATTATGTTACTTACTCCATGTCCGACGAAAATTATCAACAGCCTTCCATCCGCAAACCGACGGCCAAACGGAACGATTGAACCAGGTGATTGAACATTATCTTCGCACATATTGCAGCTACCAGGCAGGATAACTGGATAGAGTGGATTCCCCCTGGCGCAATGGGCATATAATAACGCCCTTCCACGCCATCGATAAAAATGACACCATCCTGAAGCGATGATCGGCCGACCAACTGAACTTCGTATAGACGTGGAACCCCCAAGCACGGGCGCGTCAAAGTCGGCGATAGAACAAGTGGAACGGATGAATCAAGCGGAAAACAGGATTCGAGAATGCCTAGAAGCTGCCAAAGCAGCTGAGAAAAAGTATTATGATCAGCGCCATATACCAAAAAGCTTTAAGATAGGGGACTGGGTAATGCTGCGTGCAAAAAATATATCCACCTTGCGACCTTCACCCAAACTAGATCATCGATTTTTGGGTCCCTTTCCAAATAATTGATATACGCGGTACGCAGGCGTACAAACTGAAAGCTTACGCCACAATATAAAGGAATTCATCCCCGTGTTCCACGTTTCCCCTTCTCGAACCGTTATCACGCGCGCGACGGGACAGATCCCACAGGCAGAACCGAATAATTTATAGACGCGCAGGAGGAATGGGAAGTTGAAGCTATATTGGATAAACGTCAGTACCGTGGTCAAACGCAATATCTTGTTAAATGGAAGGATTGCACAGACGCGGATAATTCTTGGGAACCTGAAGAAAATTTGGTGAACAGCCAGGAGCACTTGGAACAGTTTAATAAAACCTATCAGGAGCCAGTCAGTAAACGAAAACGAAGAAGGCGACGATGACTGCTGGATATACTTATTCCGCCCAGGGATTAAAAAACAGATCCGCCTCAGCTTGGCCAGTGTCATTTGAGGAATTGTCACCAAGGCAGACCTGCTTATTACCCCGGATTTCCTCAACTGGCGAAGCACGACGTTTCAACGATGACTTGGGAGCTGCGACCGGCGATGTAGCCACCGGGATCTCACCAATCACTGTTTCAGCCGGGGCCTCAGGGGAACCATTTCGTTGAGCCCCACGGATCTTCGCTGCGAAGAACTTAACTGCAGCTGTCACAGCGCCCTGTAAAACGTTAACGTTCGAAGCGTCTGCACCAGCGACAATTAAATCCTCAGCTGCGTTAATAGCCGCCTGGGCCAACTCAACGGCGTCTGCTGGCACCAAACACGAGTTATTTTATATCCCGCGAAACATATATAGAACGATTACTTACCGGAACGCAAACGTGCTTCATCACCGAGCAGTGCTTGCATTTCTTGCGTCGACCCTCAGCAGGCTCACAGTGATGGCGGGGAGACGTTGTTAAATGTCGAATACAACGACAGCAATATGCTGCTGCGTTCCTTTCTAACACTTCAACGGGACCGTCCGCTTCCTCATCTTCGCCAGCGTTATCGGATAACTCAAGTAACACACCAAGATCCTTGCCCAGTATTCGATATATGGCAGGCGTGACAGCGTGTCCGCCCGTCGTTCACAAAGCAAGGGTATACTAGAGGGTTTTGCAACCTTTCCAGACAACCCAAGCAAATGCTCTCGATGGCATTCAGCATATCACCCTCCATAGGTTCTGAACCGGCAACGGAAGCAGCTGGTTCTGACATTCTATTACGACATTAATCAGTATCAAGAACCTTTTAAGAAGAGAGAAGAGGCAAGAAGCAGCAAGAAAAGAACAGATGTTGGTGGTTAAAACCAATGTTACAATATCGATCAAAGAAGTTGCAGCAACACAAAATCCGACCCAAAATAGAAAACGCAACCACGCAACCAAAACTTCGAATGTCGCAATAAAAATCGCATGGGAAGATACAGTGTACTTTGCTTGATCAATTGGTGTATTCTTTTAAATAAAAAAATTCGTTGTTAGTGATGATGGTGATGATCTCGTTAGGATACGATTTGTGGTGTAAAGGTTAAAGGAAAGGGGTTCAGGGGTTGTGCCTAAATCATGATTGGACCGCGATAACACCGAAACTGGAACAACGTTTTCCCGAGTCAGCAACGCTTCGGAATTAACCCGAACAATTAATTCGGTCCTATCCTGCGAACTTTATACAATTCAACCACACAGCACATATTACGAACTTCGCACAATAAGAAGCCCTGGGGACCAGGCCTTTGAAGAAGGGAGATAATTGTAATAGGCGCAACGGAGATATCTATATTAGGAAATAGATACGTGGCGATAGATACGTGGCGATAGATACGTGGCGATGGCAATATTATCTATATAATGCTCGCTGATATCCGTGGATTTGAGGAGATCAGCGATTAGCTTTGAACAATAGAGATTGCTACCTTCTTAATATCCTTTGTGCGTACTTCACACTACTCTTGTAATTACTCTTGTAGCCCATCTCTTACAATATCTATATTAGGAAATAGATACGTGGCGATAGATACGTGGCGATAGATACGTGGCGATGGCAATATTATCTATATAATGCTCGCTGATATCCGTGGATTTTAGGAGATCAGCGATTAGCTTTGAACAATAGAGATTGCTACCTTCTAATATCCTTTGTGCGTACTTCACACTACTCTTGTAATTACTCTTGTAGCCCATCACTGACAGGAGGAATGCTTAGTGTTGAATGACGCCAAGAGTCGACTCTCAATCAATATCTAGATTATTGAAGAAATTGAATTTGATATGAAAGAAAATGATTAATTATTACAATTGTCATTTATAAAATCTATTAATTTATCAGTTTTATTTGATATAGATTGAATCTGTGATCAGTTAATATAATATAATACACTCACTTATTATTTCCTTATTATATTATTTTTGTTTATTTTCATTTCTTTTCATTATGTTATCACTACTGCTATTTCTATATATATATATATATATAAATGTATTGTTGAGCCGCCTCAGTCATGTGACCACGTGACTAAGTATGCACGTGATCTTATAGTGTATTACATAGCTAGCTAGCTCCCACTCATTAATAACAAGCAACTAGTTACGTGTAAGCCTTCAACATGTATGTATTTCGCACATCTTCTTTTCTTTTTCTTTTCCTTTTTAAAAATTAGCTACTACTATTATTACTACAATTACTATTATTATTATCATTCACTACATTATCTATTATCTTTCATTATCCATTTTTCATACTGTCATCACCTCTCACAGTTTCTAATCACTCAATCATCAAGAAATAGTTTATTGAATAATAATCATAACCTCTACCCACAGCATTCACTGTACTCATACCACTGCTGAATCAAAAGCAATAAATGTCAATGAAGAAAATTATGAAATGCACATCTCTGACATTAAAAGTATGCAACAAGCATCATTTTTTTTTATGAAATTAGATTTTTGTGAGGGGTGATAACAGTATGAAGAGTGAATAATAAAAGATAGTAAATAATGTAATGAATGATAACAACAATAGTAATTGTAGTAATAATAATAGTAGTAGTTATAGTTAACCACTAAGAAGGAAAAGAAAGAGAAAAGAAGATGTGTGAAATACATACATTTATATATATATACATATAAAAATAGCAGCAGCAAGAACATAATAAAAAGAGATAAGAATAAGCAAACGTAATATAATAAAAAAACAATAAATGAGTGCATTATAATTGTAATGCACTCGTTTATTATTTCCTTATTATTATATTATCTTTGTTTATATCTTCGTCTATTCTTACCTCTTTCCATTATACTCTCGCTACCACTATTTCTATATGTATATATATATGGATGCATGTATTTCGCACATCTTCTTTCTCTTTCTTTTCCTCTTCAGCGATTCGCTACAACTACAACTACAGCTACAACTACAACTACAACTACAACTTCAACTATACTACTACTATAATTATTATTACTATTATCTTCCACTACACTATATACTATCTTCTACTATTCACTCTTCACACTGTCATCACCCCTCACACTACTATTATTATTACAATTACAATTGTTATTATCATTCATTACATTATCTATTATCTTTCATTATTCACTCTTCACACTGTCATCACCCCTCACATATAATGAAGAGCTTTTAATTGAATAATGTATTTAAATTATTGAGTATTAATTTAATCAATTTATCTTTTTAAATGAGAGTGCTGTGAATGAATATATTACAAATTAATGATATGAATAATCAAGTAAAGAATTTTTTTTTTATTACATTAGAAGATTTTATAAATAATCTCACAGATGATCAATTTAATCTGCAATAAATGTTAATGAATATCTTGATTATGATATATATCAGAGATTCTATAATACAAAAAGGTTCAATGAGTTTGTATATATTTAAATACTGTTTAAATGTTAATGAGATTATCACTATTTAATGATGAATAATTACTCTTCTCATCATTCACAAACATTGTGAGATCTCTGCAGAAAAGCTGACATTGAATTTTTATTCTTATCTTCATATTCTTCTAATTATAATTCTATAGAGGAGTCATTTCACATATTGAAAGAATGGATTAGAAGATACAGATGTCAGTTAGAGAATCAGTTTGATAAAGATTTTGAAATCTTCTTACATTATACAATTGAGAATTTTATGAAAAAAGAAGATGTAAAAGGATATTTCAGATCTGCTCATATAAAATAATATTGTAAAATTTAAAAAAATTCAGATTGCAATTCAATTATGATGATATATAATATTTAAATTTCAAATTCAAAAGCAGAAGCAGTATGAGATTTGCTGTTATCATTATAAATAACAAATAAAGACAATTTAATTTTTTTCAACTGTGATTGTCAGATAGAACTCTTTAACCCATTTTTTATTATTGAGAATATACTTATTTCAATATTCAACTGAATCATCTGCTCATTTGTCATTGTCTGTATATGATTCAGTTCAAATTCTTCATTCTAAATAATGCTTTTTACAATTAAAAGAGCTTCTGCTCTTTGAGATCTCTCTGTCATCAATCAATTGAAGAACTCATCAATAAACAGATCCGTATATTCATCAAACTGAGGGATTGAACTATTTTAAATAGAAGGCAGGTTCGGATTCAATGGCAGATTCAAATTTGATGGCAGGTTCGGATTCAATGGCAGGTTCAGATTCAATGACAGGTTTGAATTTGATAATAAATTCAGATTCAATGGCAAATTTGAATTTGATGGCAAGTTTGAATTTGATGGCAAGTTTGAATTTGATGACAAGTTTGAATTTGATGACAAGTTTGAATTCAATCCTCTCATGCCTTTCATTCTTTTCATCATATATTTCATCACTATCACATTGATTATTTCACTTGAAGACACAATATTAGATGAAGAAGGAGTTGAGAGAGGAAATATAATTGCTGATATCTGAAATGTCTGTATAGAAGGATTAGAAGTAGAAATAAATTCACTTTTTTATTTCCTCTTTTCCTTTCTATTCATTAATCTTTTTGTCATTTTTCTTGAGGGATTTTTAACTGTTGCATGTTCACATTCAACATCATCTATCCAACTGGCAATCTCACTACTCAGGAGTTGAATATGAGTATCATCAAAAGCTATCCAACAAGTGCTTTACTCAAAGTTATGACAATTCATTTTTTGACAACATCAGTGAGCAGTTATCTCACACTCAATCTGCAAAGAATCATGCTCATTTGAGTGTTGATTTTGAATCTCTTTCAACTGCTGGCTAGTGGCTGTGGATCTTGTACGCGTAGGCGGCAGCTTTTCGTCATCGGATATTTCATGAATTCGAGGGGATTTGGCAGGACGATAGAGAGGGGATTTGGCAGAATGATAGAGAGAGGATTTGATAAATGATGAGATTACTTCTTCTTTAACATCTAATGCTCTTTTTGATGCCAATGCCTGGGTTGTTAATTGAGAATCCGACACTCCAATGAAAGCTGCAGGACCGCGTATTACAGAGGTGTTTGAGAATAGAGTTGAGATATCAAGAAGATTAAAAGAAGTGGTAATCTCAATGCTAAATCCACTCATCTTCTTTTTATATAACTTCTTTAAAAGAGTGATAATCTCTCTCCAATCTGTCTCCTTTTCAAGGATGATTTTGATTGAAGATCCACATTTGTTTGATGAGATGACTGCTATACAATTTACAACTTCTATCTTCTTGCAGTTCTGCTTCATAACATACTCTTCAGCTATTCTTTTTGCAGTATATTGAATACAATAGAAGCTGACAATCATATCATTTGTTGTGACATTCCATAACTTGATCTTTATAAACTCCTTTATCCCATTGATAATCACCCGTTCATACAGCCTGAATGAGATCTCAGGCTCAGGGGTAGTGTTTGCAGAAATCAAGGATCTTCTAACTGTGTCTCCTCCTCCTCCTCCTTCTCCTCCTCCTTCTCTCCTTCTCATCATCAGTTGGATTCTCGTCATTATCCGGACCATCCGGAACAGGCGGTTTGGACAGACGAAGGCGCAGGGTAGTTGGAGTCCTTTTA